CCCCCCAGGAAAGCGTTATTAGAAATCTAGAACGACACAGCAGGCTAATAATTTTATCATTATGGGCTGCACACCAATATATGAGAACTAAATTATTTTTTAAATTGCTCCAAGTTCCACCCTGGTGTGAGAATTTTGCTTGCACGGATAAGTTTATCTCTTTGCTGCAGAAAAACTGGGACACTAGTGGAGTAAAGTGGGGCACTGTGTCCCAATTCTCCTGACCATGGGTGGACACCAAGTTTGATTCTGCATTTCTTAAAAGAGATATTACTCAGCCTGTCCCATATGATTGTCTTATAAAGTTGTGATATGATTATGACTACAAAACAAATTCAAAACAATCGACGCAGAGTGACAGAAACTGGTCTACGAAAAAACTTCACAAAACTGGATGATCTTTGGAACTTGAAAATGGAAATATAAAAGAGTTGAAGGGATATAATAGCATGTATATGATGTATAATAAAGTGATAAATAATGCATTCATTACGGTACAGTTCATATTTGTCCACAAAAATCGGGCCTCGTCCCAGTTTACAAACGTCCCAGTTCCCCCCCAACTCTCCCCTATATCTGCCACTGTATTGCATCAGAAATATAAAAAAAACAACCCATCTTCCTAATATATGTGAGGCAGCGTGGTGGAATCAGGCTCTCGTCAAAATTATAATCAAAGTGAAGAAATTTGCATTTTTCCGCAGGTTTGTGGATTTTTATTAAATTTTTGTTATTTTTTGGCTCAACACCTTTCATGCCCATTAAAAAGGTTGATTAAAGACCCAAAAGATGTAAATTTTCAGTTACCACGAACCCTTAAGCTTAAGAAATAACGAATCTTTGTCGGCCAATTTCTCACTAATGTTACCTCTGAAAACAGGTAACCCCCACCTCCTTCATTCTCAAATATCTCAACTTGTATTAAAGATAAACGAATTTTTTCCCACCCAAAGAAAGAAAACTGAACAAGCTTTAAGATGATACCAATATATCTCTAAGTGCCCAAAAATTGACGAGAGCCTGATTCCTCCACGCTGCCTCACATATGTATCTTATTTCTGTTACTTATTTCCTCTTCACATGTCCCTAGTTCCTGGCCACATTAACAAGTGGGGGGTCGGGAGACTTCACAAGTGTTTTAAATAACTATCAGTAGTATCAGTAGACATGCGCGGAATATCATTAAAATAATATTGTTAATATATATAAGTGTTATATCCACCGCACACTGCCAGTTGAATTTGCCAGCCAAGTTTTCCTTCGCAGGTGAGGCAAAAGCTACCATTTTGGCACAATGGAACAGAATTCAACTTAATTAGACCATGATCTTCAAAACCAAACACGTTATTTTGCTTCCTTGGTTGCGAGTCGAATCGAATCAGTCTCATTGTGTCAAAATGGTACTATAGCTTTCACCTCTTCATCTGACTGGCTTCGACTCAATCGAATGAATCTGATAGACAGTGTGCACTGGGTATTAATCCATGTAAGCCCTCTACTGCTCTACTAAACTGATGCTGGTGATTAATGATTATATTATTAAGAATCAAGATCAGGATTTGCTTTCCTCTACCCCATGTTCCGAATATGTTTAGTTCTGAAAGCTGCATTCGTTTGCCTGAATGTGGACAAAAACATTTTTGAACATTATTGTGTTGCAGAAAAAAATTGACGACACTCTTCCAATTAATGTCCATGAAGGGTACACAGACAAAGAAGAAGCCTAAACGATCAAATCAGTCTCTTTCTTTGAAAGCAAGTATTCTTTCTTTTTTACCCGCTGACAAAGATTTGACATAATAGTAATACAATATGTTTGAAAGACGCTCAATTCTCTTTGTTCTCAAAGGACGCTAGTAATAGTAGTATCCTAGTATGCCAAAAGTGCGTACACGTAATCATGCATAACTTGTATCGTCAGCTAATCACGACACATGGCAGTTAGTAGTTGCAAACTAGACCTACTTTGATAAGAGTCAGTGGTTCTATAAATTCTTATTTTCCAGTATCAGAAGTAGTACATGACAATGTATAAAAGGGGAGAACGGTGGCGATTTAATTTATACACACGACGGTTGAGTGACCACGATCCTCTTCCTGGCAGCTTTTGGCCCCACTCGTTACAATTTTTGTGTTAATCGGGAGAAGAAAACACTTGGAGACAGGGCCGTCTTTTCGCACAGACAGACACACACAAACACCCCCACACCCACACAGAGTCCAGAAAGCAATAGACAGATCGTGTCACGTACTGTGTCATCGGCGCACAGCACTACTGCTACACACTACGCACTGTAATTGCACACACACTATGTTTCA